TAGGCCTTCCTATATTTATGAACGGTAATGTACTCGATGAGTCTCCTTTCCTTCATCTTCTAGGATTAACTCTTACTTTTGATCTTTCTTGGAAACCTTATATCAAATCCCTTGCAAAATTAGCATCTGCTAAAGTTGCTTCTCTTTATCGAGCTTGTCACTTTCTTACTCTGGATTCTATTCTCTATCTCTATAAATCTCAAATCTGGCCTTGTATGGAATACAAGGTGCAAAAACACATTGTAAACATAGTTGGACCTGCTCTTGCAGCCAACCTTCAACCTCTGTCACATCGTCGTAATGTTGCTTCTCTTTCTCTTTTCTACAAATACTATAATGGGCACTGCTCTAAAGAGCTAGCGTCTCTTGTGCTATCTACTAAAATTCATTCTCATGTTACTCGTCATTCAATTAAGTCTCATCCTTTTTCTGTTACTGTTCCTAAGTGCTCCAAAAACTTATTCGTCTAGTTTTTTTCCTCAAACATCAGTTCTTTGGAATTCGCTTCCTTCATCTTGCTTTCCTGACTCATATAATTTGTAATCTTTTAAGTTGTCTGTCAATCGTTATATTGCTCTACAACCTTCATCTTTTCTCTTCCAGTAACTCCCAACACTAATTAGTGGTTGCTAGCAGCCTTGTTCGAAGCGAAGATGTTTTTAAAAAAAAAAAAAAGTAGTTATATAAATAAAATAAAAAAATATTATATAAATACTTTTTTTTAATTACTTAGAAGAAAGCATTTAAGATCAAACTTATTAAATTGTAACAGTTTTTTTAACAAAATTTTGTTTATCTTTTTAAATGCATTAACTTTAATCATTCTTATATTTAAATTTGTTAAAGAGATTTTCGCAGTCGTAGAATGTCATCGTTTATAAAAACATTACAATTTTTTATTTTTTAATAAGATTTATTTAAGAAATGAACACTTAAACAATTTATATGTTTTAAATTAAAAAATATATATATAACTGTCAATTATATTTAAAAAACAAAAATTTTTCCAGTAAATTGTTACTTTATTTAAAATCGTTTCGCTAATATAAAAACATTTGTTAAGAAGTTTTGAAATAATTAATTTCACTTTTTTAGAATATTTTTTACTTAGCGCGTTTCTAAAATGTTTTTTGAATTAGCCGCAGTCAAACCGTCATAGCAAAATGTAACTTGTGTGGTCATATAAAGACATGAAATCGCACGTCATCCTGTGAAAGCCTGATATATATATATATATATATATATATATATATATATATATATATATATATATATATATATATATATATATATATATATATATATATATATATATATATATATATATATATATATATATATATATATATATATAGGCTTGGCCAGGAAGGCGTGATTTCATGTCATAGTATGACCACACAAATACTATTTGATTTTAAAAGCTTGACCACAGCTGTTCATATATTTGTATTTAAAATTTGTATTTATTTTAAAAACGCTGAAAAATTATCTTTAACTTAACTCTGAAGTAACTTAAAAAAAAAACTTATAATAAATAAAGCAAATAAATGTTCATAAAAAAAAAGCAAAAAAATAAAAATACCTAAAACTAAAATAAATTTAAAAAATTACAACTTAACTAAAATAAATGATAAACTATTACGACAAGATTATCTAAATTACAATTGGAATAAATCAGTTTGAACAAAGTCAGGTTAAGTTTATCCTGCTACTGGTAACATGTAACCCAGTACAATCTGCTTTATGTCCTTGAGGCCTTTTTAGGCAAAGGCTAGGAGATGCCAACTCCTACATAAAACACCCCCTGCCTTGGGGTTCTTGGTTGAGTAAAGGCTAGAGATGGTGTCTCGATAAAAATACTTATCTTGGGCAGATGTTAAATGCATCCGGCTGCTGTCTTGTAGAAAGCCTCCTAGGCAAAGACTTGAGGTAAATAGATTCTATCTGTTGACCAGCCTCGCACCCCTTCTTTATCTATTAGGCTGAAGCAGATGTATTCTTAATACATTGTTTCCAGTTTAGAATGTTGAATGCTGGATCTTCTTGACTCGGTGCATGGGTTTTGCTTGTTTCTCTGTTTTTATGACAAGGCAACTCATTCTATTATCTCCTAATGAGGGTACAGCTCTAAAACTCAGTTTTATGGTTCTGAGGCCGGCTGGTAGTCAGGTTTCCCGAACTCTGTAGTAGCTTTCAGAGAGGCTGATTCCATCAACAGCTAAAAAATATCAAAGTATTATCAGCGCCATGCTCCACATAGATGTTGTCCCTGATTGTACTTTTGGTGTGCATTGCCATGGCCACATTGGACCCTTTTGTTACGGCTCAGGGTTTATTAATAGTAATGAGGCAATTACTTGGGCTAATAAATAGTGTACTGAGTACTATCTATGTTTGGAGTCAAGTTCTTTAACAATTTTGAAAATGAATAAAGTAACAAAAACTATAAAACACGAAAAACCACTGTCATCACCAAGTTTGCTAAACCTATCATTCACTAATATTCGTGGTCTTTGAAGTAACTTTTCTTTTGTTGAGTCTTATCTCTTGTAAAGTTCACTTGACCTACTTGCTCTTTGTGAGACTAATTTGAGTTCAGCTTCTCATCTTGTGATCATAGTGTTGATGGTTATCTTCCTTTAGTTTGTAAAGACTCCAATAGTCACATGCTTGGCCTAGACATTTACATTCGTAAGAATTCACCCATTTGTTGGGAAACTAGGTTTGAATCCACAGACTACTCTTTTAGGTGCTTTCGTTTAGCACCACTTCAATCTAACACCTTTCTCTTTGTTCTATATCGCTCTCCCTCATCCCAAGACTGCACTCTTCTTGATGTTATTTCTGATTATATTGACCAAGCCCTCATTCTTTATCCATCAGCCAATATTGTTGTTGTCGGTGACTTACTGACTTGTTGTCAGTGTTCATCACACTGAATGGCTTGGCTCTAGTGTCAGTGACTCTTAGGCATTAAAGCCCACAACTTTTGCCTTTCTCAATCCCTAACTCAAATAGTCAACTTTCCAACTCGCTTTCCAGACAACCCGAATCATTTACTCGACTTATGTCTTGGTTCTGATCTTAGTCAGTGCCCAGTTTCTCCAAATTCACCCTTAGGTGCCTCTGATCACAGTTTGATCTCCTTGAAACTATTATCTCATTCTTCTTTAACATCAGAATCCCCCTATCATTGTACATCTTACAACTACCTTAAAGCTGACTGGGACTCTTTCCGTGATTTTCTTTGTGATGGCCCTAGGGTAGAAATCTATCGTCTTCCTGTTGACAAATGTGCTTCTTACATAACTTCGTGGATTCAGGCTTGCATGGAATCCTTTATTCCGTCTCGACGATTCCAGGTCAAGTCTCACTCTTCCCCATGGTTTTCCTCACATAGTGCTGCTGCAATTGCCATTCGAAACCATTACTTCTATATCTATCAGCAAAACAATTCTCCAGAAAACAGATGTCTGTTTATTACTGCTAGGAACCATTGTAAAAATGTTTTGACTAATGCCAAAGCCCGCTATTCTCAGGTCGTTAAATCTTGTATTTCATCACAAAAATTAGGCTCTTGTGAGTTCTGGAGAATCGTTAATAGTATCAATAATAAGGGCAAGCCTGTAATTCCACCTCTTTTGTATGGTACCTAAGACAAAGCTGAATTGTTTGCTAAGAACATTTCATCAATATCTTGATGCCACTAGTCCTATTCTATCTGCCGTCAAACAGGTTCATCCATTGCTAGACATTCGTATCACTTCAGTCTCTGTATCTAAAGTTGTTTCCTGCTTAGACTCTTCTACAGCTTGTGGCCCGTGACAACATACCTATTATAGTCTTGCAGAAGTGTTCTCCGGAGCTGTCGTCTATCCTTTCAAAACTTTTCAACATCTGTTATCTCTATTTTTTTGCCTTTTTTTTAAAAATAAAATAAAATTTGGCCTAAAAATTGCTAAATTTTATAAAGAATTCAAATCGAGTTTTCTTTTTTAAATCAAAAAAATTTTTTCCTTAGGTGAAAGTTTTTTTGCAAGAACTCAAAAAGCAAGTAGAAACTTTTTGTCTAAAAATAACAGTTAACAAGATAAGTAAACAAAATTTGTTTGTTTACGTATCTTGTTAACTGTTATATTTAGATAAGATATATGTTTAGGCTAATAAAGGTAAAAAATAATTTTTTTTAAAAATCTTTTTGTTTAAAAACATATATCTCTGTCTTTTTTACATAGTTACCTAATCAATAAACTAATGAGATTTTAAAAATGATAATTTGTTAGTTTATTTTATTTCTAGTTTAGTCTATATTTAGAGAAATAAGTATTGTAATATGTTTAAGTTATATTGTATATTTGTAACTGTAATGTAATTTCATATTTGTATTGTGTATAATTTTTTAGTGAACTATGAATAAAAAGTTTTTGTAAATGAATGATAGAATGTTGTGAATGAATCATACAAAGTTGTTCTTAATGAATGATAAAATGTTGCAAATGAATGATAAAATGTCGTAAATCAATAATAGATTGTTGTAAATGAATGATAGACTGTTGTAAATGAATGATAAAATGTTATAAATCAATGATAAAATGTTGCAAATGAATGATAGAATGTTGTGAATTATGATAGAATGTTGCGAATGAATGGTATAATGTTGTAAATAAATAAAAGAATGTTGTAAATCAATGATAGAACGTTGTGAATGAATAATATATATATAATATAGAATGAATAATAAATATTGTGAATGAATGAAATAATGTTGTTAATGAATGGTTGAATGTTGCAAATGAATGATGGAATGTTGTAAATTAATAATAGAATGTTGCAAATCATTGATAGATTGTTGCAAATCATTGATAGAATATCGTGAATGAATGATAGAATGTTGGGAATGAATGTTAGATAATTGTGAGTGAATGATAGTATGTTGCGAATAAATGTTAAAAAGTTGTGAATGAATGAACATGACGTTGTTATTTTCTATTTTTTTTTAGAAAACGTTTACAGTTAAACTCGAGCCAGTCGTTATTTTTGTTAATTAACAGTCGAAATATTTGTTCTAGCTCCTTAACTTTACTTGATGTTTATCGTGAAGAAAAAGATGAAGATGGTTTTTTATATATTGTATACGCATCTCAAGAAGTATTTGGTTCTTACATTAATTTTTAAAGATTTCTTTATATACAAACTTTAATGAAATTAGAAAGATCATAAATACCTTTTTAGGAAATTCTTATCGTGTCTATTTTTTGCGTTTTGAATTTTCTTTCCTTATTATTTATTTACAATACAGCTTCTATGTCATTAAACCCATAAACAATGTTAACACCTTTTCACCTAGATATTTCACTTAATAACTTTTCACCTTTTCATTTTGTTTTATAGTGTATTATGTAACTGTATAATTATAAAATCTTTAGAAAATATTATTAAACGGAAATTTATTTCAATATTTTGTACATTTGTAAATTTGTATATACTAGCTTTTAAATTTTCTTATTAAGATCTTTTTATAATATCTTTTTTGTTACATTTGCTTGTTGTTGTTTTTTTGTTTTGTTTTTGCTATTAGAAAATATTTTTTAAAGTTTTAAAGCGCCCTAAGTTATCTGTAAATAGTAAGGGAAGTTCGTATACTTAGGGCCTCCTTGTACCTACGGCCACCCTACTTTATTCAAAACTTTAAAGTTCTAAATAATGCTTCTCAGTGAGCTGATAAGTTATAAAAAATAACTGTTTTTTAATCTTGTTTTGACTCTCAGAGAGTGTTGTTACCGCGAGTTATAATCAGAAAACGCATTTTGAAGGTCTAAAGTTTTTTCCGCTCGCATTTTATAAAAGTATTTTAGATTGTTTTACAATCCTAAAGGAAATAATTTTTTACAAGTTCTTGTATATTATACTGTTTGTCACTTAAGTGCTAAATGTAATGTCAATAAATTATCTTTTAATTGGGGTTCGTTAAGAGACAACATTTTTCATGAGGTTTTCATATCTTGTACCTAGGGCCATATAGTTTGCTTATACCAAGGGCCATACGTGCATAAAGAATTTGCTTAATAACTAGATAGATTGTTGAATTTTAATTGGTAAAATTTCTCGCGGTTGTTCTGGGACTATCATTTTACGCGTAGACTTATTTGTTAATTTCGTTATTTAAGTGTTACTTTTAAGTGACACTTAAATAAGTCATATCAGTTTCGCTATTTTAAAACATGTTCGGGGCCTTGAATTTGGGCGTTGAAAAAATCTGGCCCTAAGTACACTAACTTCCATTAGGGAAAGGCGCCTATGATGGAATACTTAACTTTAAAACTTCATTATTCAGCATCCTAAAGACCAGGGACAAAAGTTTTGATATGGATGTATTCTTTGTTACATGTAGAACAATAATAACCTTAGAAGTTTTTATTAGTTTAATTTTTTTTATTAGTTATTTTTATTTTAAAAAATGCACAGGTATGCCATCATAGGCAACCTAGTGCTCCTATGATGGCATAGGGGAGAATGGGGCTGGTTAGTATCAAGGGTAAGTTGAGGATTTGATTTGACCCTAGAGTCTTCTCTCAGAAATGCCAGAGGTTACGCGCAATTATCCTAATTAAACTCTTTCGTACTACACAGCAGCAGTAAAAAATTTTGCGCATACGCATAAATGATACTGCGTTTTATTTGGTTTTTGAACCAAAAAATTTTATGTGAAGTAAAAATTCCTGTTTAACTTGACTAAAAAATATGTCGTTAAATGAAAAAAAAAAAGTTTTCTCAACTTGTTAATACTGCAACACACCTAACTCGTCAGTATGCAATCATAGGAAGAAATCATCATTTTCATTTTTTTTTTTTTTTTTTTTTGTATGTATTTAGGTGCTCCCAGAAGTCCTTGTGGTCTTATCATAGAGCACCGCGGGAGAACATTTGACAGGAAGTTCACGCCTCCTTACGTACCAATGTCGCTTGGGCCAGAGATGGCATCGTACCTAGGACCTCTGGGTTCTGAGCCAGAACTCTAACCACTGAGCCACGGCTGCTCTTAAACCAGCTATGTCTGCCTTGTTCAAAAGATAAAATTAAAATAAGTATTCCACTAAATGCACAAAACTTGGAAATAAAATGCTTTAAAATTTTATTTCTGCACAGTTAATAATAAAATCACAAACTTAAATACTTAAGGGATTAAAAATACAACAGCACATCCTAAAATTAATTTTTGTTAATTATAAAAGCAATATTTGTGCATAAGGGACGTATTTTTAAGAAAACTAATATAAAGTCAGTATAGACAAGTTAGTCTAATCACTTTTTCACCATAATCAATTTTTATGAAAATACGACCGGTATGCCACCAAAAGTATTCATTACACATATAAAATTTTTATTGTTGTTAGAAAAAAAAATTTCAAATATTTAAAACGCCTTAAAGTATCTGTAAGATAATACAAAAGACATTTAAAACACATAATATATAAAAAATATATATATAAAGCGACATTGAGCTAAAAACGAATAATTTTTTTATTATTTTAAAATTCTTATCCGTTCCACCTACCAATTATGTGCTGATTTTTTCACACAAAAAAAAAAAACATGATTTTTTCAGTCTCCAGGCTTAGGAATTTTTTTTTTTCCTAATTTATTTCGTCACAATTTAAACATTTTACAGAAATACAACTTTAATACATATAATATGAATATATTTATATGCATACATTTATAACTAATAAGGTACAAATTAATTTAACGACAGAAGCAAGTAAAAGTTTTACAATAAGTTTTTACGTGAGAAAAAAAAGATTTAACATAAATTTTACAGGAATAATGCAAAATACAAAACATTATTTAGGAAAATATAAAACCTTTTTTAGGAAAATATAAAACATTTAGTTAGTTTAATTATTCCAGAAAAATATGTAGTTTATGAAGACTATTTATAGGTAAGATTCTTAGAATGTTGATAGGCTCTGCTAAAAAATTATCTTTTAACTACCGCCATCTTTTACAGTTCTCTTCTTAGCCTTAAAAGAGAACTATAAAAATAAAAAAAGAAGCGGTAGTTAAGTACCTTTAAAAAGAAGCGGTAGTTAAGTACCTTTAAAATGAAGCGGTAGTTAAGTACCTTTAAAAAGAAGCGGTAGTTAAGTACCAAGGATAATTTTTTAGCAGAGTTTATTAACATTCTTACTTAATTAAGTTAACAATAATTAATAAGGATAACAACTAACGATATTTGAAATATGATTATTCTAATTAAATTAAATTACAATAATCATATTTAAAAAATCGTCAGTGCATCAAACAATCGGGGATATTTAATCTTAAAGTATTTAAAGAGTCGCGATTCACGTATTATCGTAGAAACCTACATTACCTACATAATTTTTTTATAAAGAGTTTTATATTTTTTTAAAAAATGTTTTATATTTCGCAGAAACCCTGTAAACCCTGTCGGATGACTACACCTACAAGAAAAGTAAGGATGTAATTAAGAAATACATTATGTAATTTAGAAATTGTAATATGTTATTAAGAAACACAACATGTAATTAGAAAATTTTAAAATGTAATTGAGAAACCCAACATGTAAATAAGAAATCGCAATATGTTATTGGGAAAGCAAATATTGTAAATAAGAAATCGTAATATGTAAACAAGAATACATTAATTGTAATTGCGAACTCACAATGTAAGCTTAAAGGTCATTATAAAAGGCATCCATTTTAATAAGTTATTAATATAAAATTTAACATTTGTATGCACCAGCAGTACAGTAATACAGTAATGGAATTAAAAGATCGTTGTGTTATTTGTCAATACGCTATGAACAGAAAGTCTATTGTTAAATTCAATCCGTCCAAGCATTTATTTTACCAAATTTGTTTATGTCCATTTGTGGAAAAACCAGAAAGAAGAAGACTTATTGAATGTGCTGAGCAAAATGACGATTGGCGCAAACTTTAGATGTGAAAGATAAGACAGCATACAATAAGGTCCGCAGCGGAAATTTAAATTTCATTGGAAGAGGTGTAGTTATCGCCAAAACCACAAATGCCTTTTCATTACTTTTTTATTTTATTGATATTATATTATTATTTATTGAAAACCAACCCTTATGGTTGCCTTGGCCAAATTAGGATCCAACATTAAATTACAAGGTAAATTGAGGCAACAAAAGTAAAAATACAAAAAACTTCTTTCTGGAAATCTATATTGTAAACTTTTCTTAGTTACGACTTTTATCTTCTCAATTACATCTTACTTTTTCTTATTTATAACTTTCATGTTCTAAATTACATTTTACGCTTCTCAATTACAACTTTCATTTTCTTAATTATATCTTGCGTTTCTTAATTACATCTTCCATGTTCTAAATTACATCTTATGTTTCTTAATTACAACTTTCAAGTTCTCAATTACATCTTGAAAAGGTGAAGAGTAACCACAATCCTTTTATAGAGCCCTTTTAACAATAACATTTAAAGGCCACATGACTTTAGTATGTTTACAATAAAATATTTTTTATGAAAAATACCACGTAAAGATTATACATTAAAAACTTCGTCCCAATATAAATATTAAAATCTTTATTTAAACAAGTTTAAGATAAACATACTGTAGCATGTTGAATATATATAGTTAATACATATGATATAGGATTTCAGAAATTAAGGAGATGCAATTTCATTTGTCGTTTAAAAAAGAAAGTGCTTTTCAAATTTTTATATTGTTATTTTTTAATTAATTCCATGACAGGCCTTGGCTCATAATTGAACATTTTGACACTTGTAATTTACTCTGCTCAGGCGAAGTTATGGTTGGTATTTGACCGTTGATTGTATTTTTGAGAAAAAGCCGTAACGGTGGTATCAGAAAATATCTTTTGCAGCAAGTTATTTTTTTATTTATATTTAAATATTAAGTATAAATAATAGCAAATTAAGTTTTGATATATCTAGGACACGCTCATGTATTTCATTACGGAAAAGGCTTTTCTAATCTCTTTAAATAGCTAATTACTTTACAGGCATGGTTTTGTAAGCTCTGTAATCTTATTTATTTAGTTTAGTGTGTGAGTCCAAATGCTATTAACGTAGGAGAGATGACAATGAACAAGTCTGAAGTAAAGCACTTTGCGCTATTTATATTCAAAAAAAAGCCCTGTATTTATATAATAAACATATAACAGAAGATTTTTTTTTTAATGAAACTAATATGGTTTTTCCATGATAAGTTCTCATT